TAATTGTCTCCTAAGTTGGATTAAGTAAAATAAAGTTTAAAGCAAAAAAAAGAGTTGTCCAAATCACCAGTGAGTATTGAGAATATATTTCTTTCTTTTTTTTTAATATATTTATTTCTAATACTATCAACTAGTCCATTGCTAATCTTGTAGTGTTTTTCCTCTCTGCTTAGCTATAATGACTGATGAGTTTAAATCAATTTAAAATATCAAGAAAAGCCGAAGATTATAAAAAGGATGTGTTCTCGAATGACAATTGAATGTCATCTGAACACATTTTTCTAGTTCTGTAACCACTTTGTCAAAGGTGAAGTATTAGTGCCTTGGGGAGAAATTTTCAGTGCCATAGCACAAAGGGATCAGCAACAGCCAGTGTAATATAATTACTGAGATTTTAAAATGATGTGAAAGCTCTTATTGTGAAAACTGGCATGTTGAACCTAATTGCTAATAATAAGAAATCATCTTTATATTTAGTTGAATAACTCCCTTATCTCATCAAATAAATATGAAGTCTTTGTAATTCATTCTCAAGCTAAACTGAACCTATTTTTATTATTTATTGTAATATATTGCCTTTGTTTCTAGTAAGTGGTGGAACTAGGACTAGAACTCAGTTCTTTTATGTATTAGAGCATTTTTAGAATTGCTAATTTTTAAAAAACTTACATCAACAGATAAATTTGCTCATCTGTAGAACCAAAGATAATCCTTAAAATCATAAGCAGGAAAAATGAAATTCCAAACAAAACCTGTCATAGAACAAACACAAATGAAAAAGGACAAACCATAAACAATTAGGGAAAACACATTGTAAATGATGACATATCACCACAGCCTTTTGTTATTTATTTGTGATTTATTTAAAGAACTTCTGGTGAGGAACTTTCTCTACCAAAGCAGGTTGACACCTTTGCAATCTACAGTCTTAGTTACCAAGAATATTAAAAGGATAACTGATACTGCCCAGTGTCACATAGCAAGTGTGTCAGAGGCAAGACTTATGGAATCCAGCACTTCTTGACTCAGAAATCATCTCCAGACCTTTTCTGTTATTTATTGATTATTGAAAAGAAAGGAAGACCACGTACATTGACTTTTTAAAGGCAATACCAATTATGGTTACCATAAGTTGATATTATTTCTTGTTATATTTTCTTAAATAGTTAAAATTTTATACTCTTACTTTTTCTTTATTTTCTTTAGATGTTTTCTCCTTTTTTAATCTATTGTCAATTTATCCAGCCTGACACAAGGGATTGTAGCCTTAGGGCACAAGCAAAGGCAATGCTTCCAAATATGTGTATGTGTGTATATGTGTCTTGTACACATGTGCCTAGACATCATTTCCAGAATAAGAACTAAGAGCTAAGTATCCCTCCTCCCCAGCCCCAGATAGCAACCTCCCAAATTGCCCACAGCTCCTGAAAAAGATTGATAGAACATCTGCCTAGGCTTCATGGGCAAGGAGAATTCATTGCTGCCTCATCTTTCCCAATAGCCTCTTCTGTGGGGAGAGGGTATGTATACTCGGGGACATTCAATAAGTAAGTTAGATTCTATCCTCACCCTGCCTTAGCTCAAGTCTTGATCTCAAGAGGGAGTCCGGCTTATGGCCCAAGTCTGAGATCAGACCGTTTTCTTCCTCATCTCATCTTGGTTCCACCTTGAGTAGCCTAGAAACACACCCAGGAAGTGAATAAATTAAACCCTCAGCTATGGTGGCTTGGGGTGCTTCATGGAGCCAGGAAGGGGGGAGGGGGAAATGATTCTCTCCTCACCCAGGGAAGTTAAAAAACAATCTTGTGTTATTAAAGCAGAATCAAGCATCAAGCAGGCAGAGGCTTACAAAAGTAAAAGTTCTTGGAGGCATCTGCCTGGCAAGAAGGTCCTCTCACAGCTTTATACCCATCCTTCTTCACCGGTGGCTCCAGTACGGAAGGGTCACAGATGGCAGCCTCTTTACTGAATTTGGGAAAGCAGGGACTCCTACTTCCAGCAAATGATTTGTCATCCAGAAAAGTTTCCACAGCTTCTGGTGGTTATCTGAGACATCCAGTTGCTACATGTTTAGGCACTTGGCAAGTTAGGTCCAGGTGGTAAACTTGTCCTGTTCCATGCAGATCACAGATGTGTAGCCCTCTGTATCATGTATGTATGAAGCCTTATATATAGGTGCTTACTGTGGTTTAGGACCTCAACCTCACCAAGCATACTTCATAAATGTGCTTCCTTAGGCTTTCTGGGTGTTTGAGTTAGATACTAGGGATGATAGGTTTGGGGTTTGGGTTTTTTGTTTTTGTTTCTGTTTTTGTTTTTTTAATGTTTACATTTTTTTTTCCAATTGCATGTAAAAACAATTTTTTAACATTCTTTTTTTAAATTTTGAATTCCAAATTCTCTCCCTCCCTCCCCTCTCCACTCCTTGAGAAGGTAAGCAATTTGTACATGTGTAGTCATGCACACTATTTCCATATTAGCCATGTTGTGAAAGAAAACACAGCCTTTCCTCAAAAAGAAGAAAAGTTTAAAATATATATATATATATATGCTTTGATCTGCATTCAGACTCCATCAGGTGGATAGCATTTTTCATCGTAAGTCCTCCAGAATTATCTCAGATCATTGTATTACTGAGAATAGCTAAGTCATTTACAGTTGATCATAATCAATATTGCTGTTACTGGTACAGTGTTCACTTGGTTCACACTTCACTTTGCATCAGTTCATATAAGTTTTCAGATATTTCTGAAACCATCTTGTTCATTATTTCCATCACATGGAAATGCATCACAATCATGTAATACAGCTTGTTCAGCTATTCACTGGGGATGATATTGATCATGTGCTTCTTGAAATAGACCTCATAGATGTAGCCACTCATCTTTGTAGGCCTCATTATGAAGTGGAGGAGACATGAAGAACAGGAGGCATCAGAGATATGTTCGTGGCCCTGGTGCTGCTCTTGCATGCCCATCCAAATGTCCCAGTCTCAGAGCTTTTCCAGCATTACCTTGAATAGCTCCACCCCATTCGTATATAAGGATTTCCTGAGCAGTCATTCTAGGCTGAGTATGATTTCTACTGAGTATAGGAATGATGGGCCCTCTGCTTTTTGCTCATAGCCCTTCATAGCCTTGGTCATTATAGGCAAAGATACAGTGAACAATTACCCTACTCAAGCAGGTGGGTGGACTGACTAAAGAAGCTGAAGAAATCAGTCTTCTAGGATTGCAGCAGACTTTGCCTTAAGGCTTAGGGTAAAGAGAGGCTGGCCTTGAAGTATTAAAACACCATGGTGTTCTTTTTGCTGATGGATATGTGCTGGATTCCCCTCAAACCAAACAGGGTGACCATGTCTATTCTTCATAGTAACTGTCAATGCAACCTTTGTCATCTAAAACTTTACACCCTGAGCAGAGAACGTAGCATCCTATCTGAGTAGTTGGTCCAGATCCTACCGTGACTGCTGTAGGCACAATGGCAAGTCTTATTGTGGGTGGAGCATGGTTGAACTCAGTAGGGGGCTGGTATCCCAATAGCTGCAACTATCCCCATGCCCTCGTAGCTTTGCCTCAGAAACTTTCGATACTCTTTCAGCTCTATGTTTGCCTAATGACTAGTGATTGTGACTCTTCAGCAAAGCTAAATGAGATACCCATCTTTAGCAGGATGGGCTCCCCACTATGAGAACGAGGTACATAGTTTGTAGTATTTCTTAGGTAAACAGAGCCCTTCCTTTTCAGCCTACAAAGGTCTATGTATCTTGCTATTCTAGCTTAGAACTAGTACTGCTTGGCTCTCTAGCCTCTAGAGAAGTACCTTGGCCATAACCTTGAGGTAAAAGGAACTTTTGTCTTTAATACAGATGAGCATGTGACCTAGGGCCACCATGTTGAGGAGCCATACTCATGGGGAGAATGTGTATGAACACACACTTTATTTTTATATATATATATATGTAAATATGCATATATGCACCCATGTATGTGTGCATGCATGTGTACCTACATGCTCTGCCATCAGATAACATGGTTGAGGGCAATATCATGGGTGCTTCATCACTCATCCCAGGCCTCATCTTCCAGGAACATGGGGCCATCCACAGTCACATACTTTTTCTCTGACTGGAGTAGACCTTGACATCTAATGTTTTATTAGTCAGCAACATCTTTTTTTGGCACCTTCTGGTGTCTTGTGGTCTCGTTGTCCTGCTCAGACTCCAGGTTTTCTACATCTTTGCTCACTGAGCATCTAGATTAGTTGGATGTTGAGGACAGTCACCAGAGGGAGTGGCATTGAACCCCACCTGGCAGAGGCATGATAGAACCAACTGGTTTATCAACCTTTAAGTTTTATACCAGGTACCAGCTTTGTTTCTTCTGGCCTCAGAACAGTTTCTCCAAGGTGCCCAGCTTCTAATTGTCCATACCAGGGATTAGTGATGAATAAAAGAGAACTCTTCACCACTGGCTCTTGTGGGGCTGTCAGGTGGCACAGCAGCTCCTACCCGGGCCACCTTCTCTATACTACCTCCCTCTCTTCCCTTTCTTACACTTTACACCCCTACACACACTCTACCATCCAATGATACTTGTTTACAGACTGACTTTGCCTTATAATCAGTATACATATTTCCAATTATTTCTTTATTAAATAGTTTTGTATCTTATTCTGTTCACATTTGATGAAAATCATAATTAAAGAGATTGTCTGTATTTTGTGTTTTAAATGCAGATGCATATAGTAGGTAATTGGCTCCGTATCTTGGTTATATAATGTTAGACTATTCAAGACACTGTATGTAAGAGTGTATCTTTAACACTGCTAAGCAAGTTTGAGTTAATAAGTTCTTTATACCAGTCCCATTACAAACAAACCTTCCTTCCCCTTTGATAGCTGTTTTATTTAGAGATGATGTATGCTTACAATCTTTTTTTGTTTAGAGATGACTATTGCAAGAATAAAATAAAATTTTCTTTTTTTTTGTTTTTCGTTAGCTATTAAGGTTAATACATACCACCAGCACAACACAGAAGAAAAATGTTGCAACCTCAGGACGTGAAGAATATACAGTGGCTTTTATTAAAAAACAGATTGAAGAATTCAACATAGGAAAAAGACATTTAGCCAACATGATGGGAGAGGATCCAGAAACTTTTACCCAAGAGGATATTGATGTAAGTACAGTTGCTCTGTTGGAGAAATAATTTACTATAGAGTTGGATATTGAAAGTGTGTTACTTTAACATGGGCCCCTCAGATCTCTCCTAAGTTTTAATTGAATTGCTAGATGAATGAAAAATACCATTTATACTTCTCCAGTAGGAGATATGACTTTGATAAAGATACTACCTTCCACTGCTGTGTAAGGTCAGACATCACTCTACAGGATTGCATATTTGTGTCTTTTATTGAATGTAGTTTTTAGTTTTTACTGGTAATAGATAATCTCCTTGTTTCAAGGTCATGAGAGCCTCTACAGGTGTCTAAAATGATTACATTATGGGTAAATGTTTCTTTGTTATACATAGTTAGGTTATGTTTTCTTGCAAGATGATATATCAGATTATAATGGGAATGTCAGATTTGTGGGAAATCCTATAAATAAACATGAATTTGGTATGTTAAATGTTTTTAATATATACTTGCATTGTTAAAGAGGTTCTAGTGATTTGAGAATTGGACTGACTTTTGGTTCTAGTTCCCCTATAGCCAGGGGTCATTAAAGTATTATGTTAAATTAGGGAACTTTGAATAATAGTTGGTGATATTTGATTGTTAAGTAACCTGAAATAACTGGAGTAAGTGTTCAATTTAACTAAAAACTATTTAGCTTGCTTTGATAAAATGCCAGCTCTAACATCCATATAATCTTATTCTTAAATATTATGAATAATTTATAACCAGGTATAAGAATCTTATTACAAAGTCTAATCTTCATCAGACTGTTGAAGTATTTGGTAGGACATGATTCTTTTTTTATACATCTTAATTATTTTCATGTTGTCCAAAAGTCTCATCCTAATGAAAACCTCAATACCAGTTTTCCCTTCACCTGTTGAAGCCCAGTTGAGTTGGGGCTGTGGGAGCTGCTTTTTTTGTTTTGTTCTTTTTTGGTAGCAGGGGAGGGTTATGGTGGTGGTGGTGTAGTGATCACATAGTAATTCCGTATTTTAGTTGATCTGCCCATTTCATGAATAAGATGATAAAATTATAATTGGTTACATCTCATTTCATAGCTAATTTTTAGTTACATAGTAATAATAACATGTAACAAGCATCAGCCAGAATCTATAATCAAAGTAAGATTGAGCCTTATGTTTTTAAAAGAGAAGCAGTTCGTATTAAGATGTAATTTGGAAAAAGATTTTAAAAGACATCCAAATGCCTTTTTAAAAAATTCTTAGTTTTGTGTCTGTTTGTTTATTTTTTAAATTTTGATAAATTGCTGTCTCAATGTTGAGAGAGATAAGGAGGCCTTGGGTGTATCATTTCAGCTTTTCATTTTCCAAATAGCATATGGAGCATACACAGGGCAAATTCAGGTGAGCTTAAGGGACAGAACATTATTACAGCAGAGTTTTATTTATCTAGTTTTTTAAGTAGATCAAAATTTTCGAAGACATTAAGGCTGTCTTTTTGGTAGCATGCAACATAGAGGTTAAAAGAGGAATTGGGCATTTTGAGAACTACTTAATGGTTTTTGTGCATTAGTAGGATATGAATTAAAAAGATTAATTAGAATACAGAGTTAATCCAACAAGTAGTTGGTTCAGACTGAACTACTGATTATTTTATAAAATCTTTAGAAGCTAGTTTTGCCACACAACTTAATTCCTATAATAATAATGATTTATTTGTCAGTTTAAGGTTTTCAGAAGGCTTTACATGTGTTTACTTATTTGATCCTCATAGCACTTTGTGAGGTGGATGCTGTTATCTCCATTTTAGAAATAAGAGGCTGAGGCTGAGAGTGGTTAAGTGACTTGCTCAGGTCCACACATCTAGGCAGGATTTGAAATTAGGTTTTCCTGAATCCAAGTCCAACACTCTCTCCACCTAGCTATCTAGCTAAACTAGAAGCATCAATAAAAATCATATTTGTAAATATTTATGCTAAAATACCTTTTGAAAACAAACTTTGAAATAAGTTAAAACAACTAGATTAGGGATTTAGTCGAGCAGGGTTTCAAGAAATTCTTCTGTACTACTTACTTTGAAAGATAATAATCACTCTATATTAAAGGGGCACTAAACAATGGAAGTTAGTGTTTATTCAGTCAAGAAGATTAAAGTTCAAAGACATAGTTTCAGTTCTCAGATTATCAATTTGTTTCCCAGATATAAAGTGTTTATTGGTGCCAGTGTACTGAGATAATAATAACGGACATTTTATAAAGCACTTTAAGGTGATTTACATATTTTATCTCATTTGATCCTTATACAACCTAGGAGGTAAATGCTTTTATTATCTTCATTTTGCAATTTAAAAAATTGAAGTAAAGCAAGATGTTAGGTAACTTGCCCAAGGTCATACAACTAATAAGACAGTATTTTTATGACGCATAATTCAAACTCACACCTTTCTGACTCCACTCTATCCACTATGCCGCCAAGCTACCTAGGATAGGAGAGAACAAATTTTCTGCATTTTTACAAATAGTTATATGTGTGTGTGTGTCTAATGATGACTCCAAAATTGAATGAATGACATAGTATGCTCAGAAAAAGAAAGTAGCTCTGGAAAATTTAAATTTTACTTTGTGGTTATAATTACTGGCCTATTTAGCTTGATGTGTTCCATTTTACTTTTAATATATATTGTATGTGTTCTTGTTATTACTATTAGTAATAAATAAAATGCTAATCAAAACTATTTAATAATTATTGCTTTTGAAGTACCTTGCTTATACCATAAAATAATTTAACTGTATTTCAGGAATCCATAATTTCAAAGTGGAAATTTTATCCAGTGATGTAATTTGTGGCCTATCCACATCTTCTCTTCCTATATGATTCTTCTTCATGTCTGCCCATGAATCTAATATGAACAGTCCATCTCACACACTAGTATTCTTCCCTCTTCCACCCCCCCGCCCAGGTCTTGGGTGTCTATTTGATATTTCTTGGTCTTTATGATCAGTCTGCCTCCTTTTCTGATCATATGTTCCTAGATGCTGTCCTTTACACATCTTCTTTCACACAAACGATAGTAAGATTCCTACATTTAAATTGATTCCCAGTTATTACCTATGTGATCTTGTGCAAATTATCTTTCTAGGCCTCATCTGTAAAATCAGGAAATTGGACTTAATTGCCTCTTTTTTTCTGTTCTGTCTATAATGCTGAGCCTGTGATTTTTTTCTACTAATCCTACTTTTGCCCTCTACACTCTGTCTATTGCCCAGATCACTTAAGATTTTGATTTTTTTATATATTATTTGTATTCTATCTATACCCATATACTACCACTAAAAGAATGTCGATATTATGGGGGCAACTAGGTGGTGCAGTGGATAGAGCTCCGGCCTTGGAATCAGGAGGATCTTAGTTCAAATCTGGCCTCAGACACTTGACACTAACCCTGATCGCCTCACCAAAAAGGGAAAAAAAAAGTGTTGATTTTAAAAAGAAGTGTTTTTGTTTCAGGAAGCAGACTGGGATAGTTGAAAACACAGCATTATTTCCCAAGTGAAATTCCATCTACTCTCTTCTGTTCTATTCTGGACCTAGTTTACTATCCACATGCAGTATCTGTTTACATGCTCAAGACATATTGATCTGGTCTGCTGAAGAATATCATTTGTGGTTGCCTGCTTGTTCTCTTATTATATTTTCATTTCTATTCTGTATGTATGTAGATTATTCCCCATGATTTTGAAGAGATGAGTTGCCCTGTTGATGTCATCTGTGATTTTTTTTCCCTTCCATCAGTGTCTTTCCCTCTTTCAGACATCTTGAAGATCAATCTCTCAATGCACTTCTTTCACCTCTAGGCCAGATTTTCTCTCTGTAGTCAGCCTGCTCCAGCTGCTCTTGCTATCATCCTCAGCTTAGAGTCATTTCTTTCTCTTCACATGGCACATGAGGACCTAAAGATGTCAAAAAATCCACAAGTGGTGATTCTGCTGGTATCACATGAGGAAAAGGTCCATTTCAGAAAGGTGAAAGAAAGCTTTCTTTTTTGTTTGCATGTTGTCCTTTTTGCAGTTCATCTTTGATTTATCTTAGCATGATCTAGTCTAATTTGTCCTCACACTCACTGCACACTTGTTTTTCCCTCACTTCTCATTGTTTTATCGGGTGATACTATGTATAATTTTTCACCATCTTCTCATAAAGGTTGCTGATAATGAGAGCACCAACTCCTACAGCATTTCCTAATCACCCATCTCACAGGGGCAGGAGAGAATAGGAGTATGACTCCTCATCCCCTAAACCTCAATGGGGGCCGATTGAGGCAGACACATAGATTCCCCCCAAGCCTTGATGGGAGCAGATCAAGGCAGGTACATGCTTTACCCAAATCCCCAAAATGGGTTCCCCCAAAGCACTGAAGGGGCATCAAGGCAAGCACAAATGCATCTCCCTCATGTGCATTCCTATTCCCCCACTCACTGACCAGCGCCCACTCTCTTTCTAGGGAAACAGAAAAGGCACATCGCCAGCAATAGCCTCACAGCTTTACGTCACTTCATCCCTGTATCTAACTGTGCGAGCGTAGTGGAGACGTTTTGAACCATAACCATGAGAACTCATATCTGACACCTGGGGATTAGAGATTGTCATGCTATGGATCCTGGGAAACTAAACTCTGAGAAAGCATGACAAAAATCCACCTTACCTTACTCACACTGCAGCCTCTCTGTGGTGTTCATTTCTGGTTTTTAGAGCGCGCTTCACCCTGCCCCTCTCAGTCACTTGGAAGTTCCGTCCCCTTCCAGCTCTGCTTCCGGCTTCCTCTTGGCTTCAGAATTGCTGACTTATCCTGGAAGGTCCCTTAAGACCCAGGGCCTCCTCCCCGCACAGTCTTCCACTCCTGTGGCCCACTAACCGTGGAATATCCCTCTACGGAGTCTTCCCTCCTTCTGCCATTCTTGAATTCCTCCTGGCATTCCCCTTCCTGTGCCTGACTTCTGGACTTCAAACCTTCATCCTCAAACCATCCCCTCTCCCT